GCCGCTTTCTGTCCGTGTGCTTCGGATGTGTGCTCTCAGAAAACCGTATATCAGAAGTTTAAACTAATATGGTTTAAAACGCATGATTTCAGCACGATAAACATGATAATCAGAACCGAACTGTTTTAGCAGCCAGGTACGAGCTGTAATGGCGCAGCTCTATTCTGGAAAAGGGGGCGGGGAGCAGCAGCTCATTTGCATTTAAAAAGACAGGCACAAAAAACAGCGTGTTTCTGCTTCCACTCAAAATAGGCATTTTCAAAATAATATAATAAATGATCTGTGGGGTATTTTGAGCTGAAACTTCACAGATACATTCTGGGGACACCTGAGAGATAATATGTCTCGTTTAAATTATATTGAAAATATAAGCCAGGATATCCATGAAAAATATCACCTTTTTTTTTAATGAATGAATGAACACACACAACGTTGTTATTGTTAACTAAAAGTAAAATTGAAACATGCTAATTTGCGAATTAAAAAATTGTTAATTAAAATATATCAGAATGAAAATAAAGTAAAATAAGTTATTAATAAGTTAAAGTACTAAAATTAATAAAACTAAAACTAAAATAAAAATACATTTAAATTAGAATTATAAAAAATATATTTTTAAACAGAAATAATAAAAAAATTATAATAATGACAAACAAAATTACTAATAATTAAAATAAAAACTAAAAGTATAAAATAAAAGTTAATCTAAAGGATTAATAAATATTATATTACATTATATAATAGTGCATAATAATACACACAGTAAGTGCTAATCTTATTGTGCACCCTGCCCTGACAATCAGACTCCTGGTCCAATGTCCTGTCACATAATTAATATTCATGAGCAAAGCTGATAAGTTTTATATTGAGTCCCTCCTGTATAAAATGCTGTGAAAAGAGTCACTAGCAGTTCAGAGAGCGTTCACACATTTCAGAAAAGGAAAATTGCCTTCCAAATGCTGTGGAAAGAAGTTAAACACAATTAGAAAACAGATTACCAGTGAAAAAATACCCAACAGGAATGTGTCCTCCAACCACAGATGGATCTGAGAAGCCTGAGGACACCCACATATTTACTGTGAATGCTAATGATATTTCTTACAGTTTCTGCTACTAATTAATTCCACTGGAATAAGGAGAGAAGGATAGAGATACTGTTGTTGTTGCTGGCTTGTTCTTTGCCTCTAAACAGAGACTCCCTTTGAGTCACACACACACACACACACACACACACACACACACACACACACACACACACACACACACACAAGCGCTGCAATGTTTGTTCTCTAAATCTAGCCCTCATATAAACCTTTCTGGTGTTTTACTTACTCATTAAGACATTATTTAGTATGTTTACTAAGCCGTTTTCTTCACAGAGAGCGAACACTGGCAGGACCTCACAGCGTAGGTGATTTCAGGTTTTACTATCCTTGTGGGGACAAAACCTGACCCACATAAACACCAGCTACATTGTGCTGGATGACCTTTAACCTCTGGTCTCTACTGAATCATTAGAGGCGCGTGAGTGGTTGTTCATCAGTATCACTGATTCTGCTTTGTGGGATCTGTAGGGAATACGGTCCCTTGTATACACACACACACATACACAGAGTTTGTGTCTTGCTTGTTCCAACACCATTATGTTAAAAGGCTTTTAAAATGATCACAGCCATATGGTGTATTTTATCCATTCATGAGCGCTAATGTGCAAAACTATTTACAAACAGTGCGACGTGTCCACATCGTATGTCAACCATATGCACATTTAAAAGAACACTTCACAACAGCGGTAGTGCATCATACAGTGTACAAGCTTTAACATAACCACAAGAAAGCAGGCATTACAGTGACTTTACCACATTTAAAGGGAGAGTGCGCCCCCCCCAAAAAAATTCTGGTAACCATTGATATTTGGACAAAAATACTATGGAAGTCAATGGGACTCAAAACTGTTTGGTTACCAGAATTCTTCAAAATATCTTCTATGGGTTCAACAGAAGAAAGAAAGAAAGAAAGAAAGAAAGAAAGAAATACTATGGAAGTCAATGGGACTCAAAACTGTTTGGTTACCAGAATTCTTCAAAATATCTTCTATGGGTTCAACAGAAGAAAGAAAGAAAGAAAGAAAGAAAGAAAGAAAGAAAGTCATATGCATGAGGGTAAGTAAATTATGATACAGAATTTTGGTGGACTATCCCTTTAAGGGCTGAGTGTGAACTATACAATAATGTGTAAATAGAAATACACACACACACAAATATTTATACACACACACATACAAAACGACACACAAACATGACAAAAAAATTCCGTAAAATTGCTGAATGTCCTGGCAGAAAATTACCAGTATATTTTCATTTTTTTGTTACATATAATATAATATAATATAATATAATATAATATAATATAAATACTATGATAAAATAGTATTTATATTTATACTAAAATAACACTGATGCACAGCCGACACACTTCAACTAAAAATAACAAAGTAATGGTATTTATTTTTATCAACATGGCAGCAGTGGTATCATATATTTGGCTTCTTTAGCTAAAATAGTAAATATCTAAATAATAATATTACGTAATAATAATAATAATAATAATAATAATAATAATAAATCACTGGTAAAATCATTGTAACTTGCAAAGGAATTTTCTTATATGCTTATGATCATGGAAACTTGGCATAGTTTGGAATTCAACTGATGTGCCTTTTCTCAAAGCTAATTTACGAGCCAAAAATAGTAACTGCTGATTGTGCTGTTATGCTCTAAATGTATATGCATAAAAAATCATAAACGTGGCATTTATGTCTAACTGACAAATAACCTGCTGATGTTGCTTAACTGATACACTGTAATTGGTGAGGGGGCGTGCTCTTACCGTCAGCAGGGGCGGAGATTAAAGGGCCAGGTTCCTCTGGAAACGAGCAGTCAGCCAATTGGAGGACAGCAAAGATTTGTAAGAAGCAGGGGGTCAGGGTCGCCATGGCAGTGACACACCACAGCTGTGAAGACAGGAATAGAGAAATGATGTTAACCTAGAAAAACAGTGAAAAGAACACAATACAGTACTAGTGAACTGCGTCAACATTCACTATCTGCATAGGCAACCCCCTTGTAATGCAAAATTCAATCTGCATAGTTAAAAGCCTTACACAAAAAGCCATTGTCACATGAAAGCATAAGATAATTGTTGCTAAGCTAATACATCAGTGCTTTAATAACCACAAAATTGCAATATCACATGTAAATATTGCATACAATTGTGGATTATAAAATAATAAAAAAAAAACAATATCAATCGTTAGCTGCAGTATTGAATAAAATATATTTATATTCAACATTTTCCTCTGTCAGCCATTTTGGATCAGGTTTATATTCATCAAAACTATTAGAAACATTTTTGTTAATTGAAATACAGCTGAAATAAAATATAAATATTAAATGAAAAAAAAATACAAAACTGAAGTTGAAGCACTAAATTGGAAATAAATAAAAATGAAAACTAAAATAAAGTAAACTTAATTTAAAAAATAAATAAAACCTTAATAGTAATATAAAAATATGAAAGCATAACAACAATTTTAATTAAATTTTATAAAAATTCTAAATTAAAACAAAAATAAAAACCAAATCAAAATATTAATAAAAACTATAACATTATAATACCAAATAACACAGTTTTGGATTAAAAATTGAGCTTGTTCAATGATCTTATTAAAGCAAGTTATTTTCTAGCTCATATAATTTAAAGACTAATAGCTTCGAAATCTAAATAAATGTATAAATAAAACGTATTGTATTAAAAAACAGTAATAATATAACAGATTTGACAGTTTTTTTTTAAATAGCTTAAATCACACTAAAAACTGTATTTGGCAGAAACTGTCCTGCAAAATGTCTGGTTACAACACCGACCAGCAGGAGCTATCAGAGCCATGCACTGATTTTGGCCAAATCAATGTAACAAAACTTTTCAGTTTACTTCTGGAACAACCTTCATGTCAGACACACCCCTATATGATGCCTACAAAGTTGCCTAGGTAGGCAGCACATCAGGTTTTGGAGCTAAAAATAGAACACAAACAAAGATACGCTGTAAAGATACGGGCAAAAATGATTAATGATACAAAGGAGCATTAGACGTCTTGGGTGTTAGACGTGCCTCGTGCCTTCAATGAAATTAAATGCACAGGCGACTCCACATGAGCATGAGGCGAAACAGAAGCTGTTTATGATTTAACATTTGACATTTATTCGGGCACTTTATGAGGAACAGACTACTTACAAAAACCACAATACCTGTCTGTAAAGCAAAACAGACTTGCGTGATTTTAACGGGTGTTAGGAAACCGTTTGTCTATGAGTGAGTGTAAGTGGGGCATAAAACTGCTTAACAAAAGCTTTCATCTCCGACAATCAGTTCTTCTTTCAGACAGAAACCAGATGAGAGTCGTGAGGGCTTCTCTTTCACGGACAACCCACAATTACCGAAGAGTCCCGAGACCACACACACACACACACACACACACCGTAATTCATCTTCAGCACCTTTTCATTGAGTCTATGAAGGAAGGAGTGACCGGTGGCTTTAGCAGGAGGACCAGAACGATGCCACCATCTGCTCTTTTCTTTTCCACACTC